CCACACCGTCGCGGCTAAGCTGGTGAACTACAACGGGACCACCATGTCTCTTGCCTCTTACGGCGACTACTGGAGGAACGTCAGGCGGGTTACCGCGGTCGAGATCTTCTGCAACAAGCGGATTGAGATGTTTGCGCAGATTCGACAAGAGGAAATGCGTTACTTGTTAGCCGGGTTGCTTCGAGATTACAATGATAAACAAGTTATGGTGACGCTGAGGCCAAAGTTGGGAGACCTTATGTACAATATTACCATGAGAATAATTACCGGAAAGCGTGCTTCTGCTGTTGATGATGATGATGATGATGTTTACGAGGAAGGGAATCAGTTTGCTAAAGTAGTCGAGGAGGGTCTGAGTTATCACAGTGCTCTGAATCTGGAAGACTTTATTCCAGCTTTCAGATTTGTGGATGTCAGTGGCTTGAAAAAGAAGATGTTAGCTCTGATGACAAGAATTGATAACTTGCTCGAAAACCTGCTGCTCTACCAACGAAGGAAAAACATCGAAGATGAGACGAAGAAGACGACGTCGTCATTCATAGATACTCTGCTGGATTTGCAAGACAAGGAACCCGAGTTGTATACTGATCAGACTATCAAAGCTATCATCCTGGTAAGATATCAATTTAATTCTCCTCTACTATTTTTTTCTTTTATTTGTTTTTTTTTTCAAAGAACACAATTCATGTCTGTAGTATACATGGACCGCGACTTTATAAAGTTGTTAGTTAGGAGCTTGCCCAATACATGATTTCATGCAATCAGCGGTTATATTTACATTAAATTTGATGATAAATTGGAGGAATAATATGACCGGACAGAGAAGAGGGAAATGCATTGTACATTTCAAATTAGTACCAGAAAGATCTAGTCACTGTGTGTGAATGCGGTAATAGTAAGGCTAGCTTTGTGTTATTTGCCTGATGAGATTCGAAATATTGTCGGGGGCATATTAAATCATTTTACTTTAAAGATACATGATCGATGTTGTTTGTTTGTTTGTTGGTAGTCTCTTATCGGTGGCGGAAGCGAAACCACCGTTACAACCTTGGAATGGGCAATGTCACTTCTATTAAACAACCCGGAAGCGATGAAGAAAGCAGTGGTGGAGATCGAGAATGTTGTCGGAAATGATCGTTTGTTAGAGGACCAGGATGTACCAAAACTGAGTTATCTGAACAACGTCATCGCCGAAACACTAAGGTTGTACCCACCACTTCCGCTTCTTCTGCCACACAAAGCAAGAGACGACACTCAAATTGCAGGGTACCATATCCCAAAAGGCACTCTGGCAATGTTCAGCTTATGGACAATCCACAGGGACCCAAACCTGTGGGATGAACCCCACAAGTTCAAACCCGAAAGATTCGATAATATTGGTAGTAGTAACTCGGATCACGGGTATAAGCTTCTCCCATTCGGGTCAGGAAGGCGATCTTGTCCGGCAACAAACTTGACGAAGCGTGTCCTAGTGTTTGTACTGGGAGCCATGATTCAAGCCTTTGAGTTTGAGAAGGTTAATGGTGTGGAGGATGTCGACATGACACCGGGAAATGGGGTGATTATGGCAAAGTCAACTCCCTTGGAAGTCCTCATCAGGCCTCGCCAAATTACGGTTCAAATCTTTGGTTCTGAATAAAATTCATGTTTTTCAATTAACGAGAATAAAACTTACTCTTTCCGTCTTTAAAAAAATAAAATAAAATTATACACATTAAGTTTTAAAATTTATATTGGAATTAGTATAAATTTCAATACTCAATTCCAATTTTATTTTTTGTTTTTTTGGGACGGAAGGAGTATTACAAATATGAATCAATGAGGTTGTGGCAGGTAATTTCTATGCATGCTTGTATGATTGTATCTATGAATTGTTCTTCTTCTATCTGTATAAACTACCGCTAGTTTGAAAGAGACGCATATCATCAGTTCCACGTTGTGTAATTTGTGTGTGTCTATATGAACACATTTTCCAATTGCAAAATTCTTCTTTTAGCTGTAACTGTCTAGTTGTGATTTGTTGCAGAATTAATTTTAAGAAACTCTGGAAAGATTTTATGTAGAAAATTATATACTGCTCTAAAAAAAATCTACATTGAATTTCGATATTTATGAATTATTTGGACAAATATCAAAATTCAATATAGACTGCTTTCTTTTGACAGAAGAAGTATCTTATTCAATATTCATCATAATTCCCAACTTTTCTTATCTATAATAAACTAATATAAAAGTCTTTTTGATCAATTAGTTTCTTACAATCTGATTGGTCGGATGGTAGTCACGTGACATCATCGTTGCATCACGATTACACCATATTTTTAATTAGGGCAAAAGTGTCATTCACTAATTAGACATTGATTAAAAAATAATTTTCTCCCAAACCCCTATCAGTTCTACGTTGTGTAATTTGTTCGTGTTTATATGAACACATTTTCCAATTCCAAAATTCTTCTTTTAGCTGTAACTGTCAAGTTGTGATTCGTTGCAGAATTAATTTTAAGAAACTCTAGAAAGATTTTATGTAGAAAATTATATACTGCTCTTAAAAAAAATCTACATTGAATTTCGATATTTATGAACTGTTTGGACAAATATCAAAATTCAATATAGACTGCTTTCTTTTGACAGAAGAAGTATCTTATTCAATATTCATCATAATTTCCAAATTTTCTTATCTATAATAAACTAATATAAAAGTCTTTTGATCAATTAGTTTCTTACAATCTAATTGGTCGGGCGGTAGTCACATAACATCATCGTTGTATCACGATTACACCATATTTTTAATTACGGCAAAAGTGTAATTCAGTAATTAGACATTGATTAAAAAATAAATTTTCTCCCAAATCCCTATCTTCAAAACGACGCCGTTTTTGTCAAACCCCCTTCCCCCACTCTTAAAACGATGTCGTTTTGAATGGGCTCCTTAAAAATTTGGGTAAAACCCAAGAATTGTTTCCTCTTCTGACCCGCCCCAAAATCTCCCCGCCCCAAATTCCGAACCGCCCAAAACCCAAATCGTTTCCTTGCTCCATCTATTGTAGCCCTCTTCTTTCTCTTGGATGCTTTCCCACCCTTCTCCGTTCAATTTGGTGGCACGAAATTCCGGCATCGAGACACAATGGCTGATTTCTCTGAGAAAATTTGCAAAATTTTAGATCCAATAGTTGAGGTAATAATAATTCGATCTCCTTACTTGAATCGTCATCTCTGACTCATGATTCTCGGAAGTTAATGCCTGATATTTCCATGTTTTTGTGGTTTCAAGCTATGTTGTTAAAACGGACCGGCTTGAACGGTCGGGCCAGTTAGCTCGGGAACCGAATATTAACCGGCTGCCCGAAAAGCGGTTGACCGAAAACCGGATGTACTGAAAACCGGAGTTCACATATTAACCGTTTGTACTGAAAACCAGTCAAAACCACGGTTTGACCGAAAACCGGATGAAACCGGCTGCCCGCGGTTCGTTTTTTCTACCCAAAAAAAAATTCTAATCCCACCAAATTTTCTCTTGTTCATGTAATTTTCACAAAATTTAGCAAGTTATTTCATCATATCTTCACAACTGAATCGTTTACACGTTTTCTCCTTGTAATAATGGGTAATTCTCTCCAAATTGAAGATTTATTTGCCCCCTTCCAATCCAAATTAATGAACAAGAAGCAAGGAAATAAAAATTAGACTCAAGAATCTATCACAATGAACAAATTAAACTACATAATAAGAAGAAGAGATAGAAGAATAAATCAGATATATGAACATAGAAAAAGAATCTAAAAAAATGGTAGAAACAGAGGAAGATGAAATGCTGGGGAAGAAGGGAAGGGGAAGAGGCCGAGAGAGAAGGGGGAAAAACTAGAAAGACGACTGCGTGGAGGAGAAAGTAAGGAAAGAGAAAAGAGAGTAGGGTTTATTACGTATTAGTATGTATATTATTTTTAGGACCTTGTTATTTATATTATTAATAAATTTGATCCATAAGTTTCAAAGTTGACAAATCTAAGTTGTAATTTATTGAAAAGTTTAATGCTTACTGATAAAAATTATTCTAAAATATATATTATGTATTTAATATATTTATGACCTAATGATGATGTCATCCAGTTTTTTAGAACGGTTAAACCACTTCAACCCGGTAACCCAGTAACCCAATAAGAAGAACGGTTTTCGTACCAATCCGGTTTTGAAAACATAGGTTTCAAGTTGAGCTAAAGCAGGGTGTTTTTGTGTTTGGGCGAATGAGATTACTAATTAACTTTACTTGTTGTTTTTTGTCATTTACCAATCTTATCCAATCCTATCTTTCTTGCAATTCTCTTTGAGTTTAATTTCGGTCTCATAGGATTGATAAAACTATTGGGTTTTATTGATGAAGTGTATGAACATGGATGCATTGTTTTGATATTTGTAGTAGTAAGATTAATGATGTTTTGTACTATAAAGTTTTTTTGAGGAAAAACTTTCATTGAGATGATGACAAGTGTCTCGAATGTTTGTTGTTATAAGTAAATACTACAGATTCTTCTTACCTTTATTTCTTCTTTGCGACACACCTGTTGCATTAGGGAATAATCAAACCGTCTTTTTATTTGTTATTATTCTTTCCCAAGGTGTATTTTATACATTTTTTTTTCTTCTAATTCTACCCTTGTCACTCTCCTCTTTATATTAGTTGTATCAATAACAACTATTTGCCATTGAATTTTAAGCATATTTATAAATATTAGGGATAAAAAATATCAATATGCATAAAAATTTTATTCTCAAATATATTTTCTTAAAATGTGTTTGTCTAAAGGTAAAAATAAGCGGAGGTAGTAAATTCTTTTATTGGTAGAATTAACAATTGCATCATTGACAGTACCAACAAAATATAAACACCATATGATTATTATCTCTGAGTCATAACTTATTACAAGTAAAAGATCATCTTTTACATTTTCCATGGACTCGTGGAAGAAATTTACATCAACATTCCAACACTCTCAAAGAATTATTCAGGGAAGAGGTGTTTGACCAACCCATGTTTCAGCAAATTGTGATCTGCCAAAAAAAAAAAAAAACCGAAGAAAGAAATTTAAAAAGAAAATCTAAGATATACTCGATTGTAAAGTACATATAGAAAAGAGATGAACAAAACTTATACTGTATCTATCCCTAAATGATTGTTTATTTTGAATTTTCATTTTTAGTACAACTCGTAAAAAAAATAAAAATTTAAAATAGACGATCTTTTTGGGAAAAAAGTAGTAAAAGCGATAAACAAATTAATAAAGGTACAAAGTTCGTATTAGGAAAAGATGAAAGTGATTAAGTCATACCTCTATGAAAACAATCTTCCAACTAGAAGGGCGAAGAAGACAAGGGCTCCGTAGTATTTACTAGTTTGAAATCTACATGGGAAAATGAGAGAGAAAAGAAAGGTAAATAATTTCGTAGGTATGACTAATAGGGATGAAACTGATATAAGAATGATCTTGGGGTCGCGTAATCTTTCTGACAAAAGTATTCTAGATGCAACATTTTTATATGTATTTTTAAAATTTCGGAAACACTAGCGTAATAATTGATGCTTTTTTATTCTTAATAATTGAATGAGTTGATTCATCAATGGGTTAGAGTATTAATATCAATTATAAAGACAAGTTAGAGTATTAATACATTTTTAACTATTTATATATACTAGTATGTCATATTATAAGTGTAATATAAAAGTGTCTTTAAAAAATCAATCGTCCATTTTTCTGCTCTACCCATTCTCAGGACAAAAAGAATTCAACAATAAAGATACTCACTTCAGACCACAATCTGTAGGATTGTCTAGGTCAACTGCATAAATTTGCCAAGCCATTTGAGCAACGGCAGGAACCATTAGTACATAAAACGGCCACCCTGCACCACCGCCAAACGGAAAGATATTGGGTCAGCTGGTGTAAAATTCAATCATCCCACTTCACTTTTTTTTTCCCCTTAACATTTTTTTGCTTCAAAACTGATATTCTCATGTTTCCATAACATATATATTTATTTTAGTTTCAATAGAACTTTTTTCTTTACCAATATTTGCATTGAATACACTTAGTGCTAAACTAGCAACCGATGCCACTGCACAAATACTTATCCACGGCTTTGTTGAATCTCCCAAAAGCAACGCTGCAGATTTGACTCCAGCTTTCAAGTCATCTGCTTTATCCTGTGCATACGTGTTGCATTATTTATACAAATTCTAAATAATGGGTTAGTAAGTTTAAAGTTTGTCTGCACCCAAAAAAGTGTCAATATTTATCCGATTATTTATAACAGTTTAAGCTTTTAACAAAGTAATATGAGTCTTCTTTTTTTCGAGAACGGAAAAGTATTCAAATCATTTTATATGCTTTTGATTAAATTTGTATAAAGAGTAAAAATTTGAATTGGATAATTTGTACTATATTTTTGTGAACATCAAGTGTATATGTCACTCGTACCTGGTGAACATAGAGTGCATCAGCTTCAAGAGTCCAGAAGAAGCAACTCATGAGGAGCGGAAAAACAATGCTGGGATGTAGAGTTCCTTTAACAGCAGCCCAAGAGTACAAAACTCCCCAGTTGACAGTGAAGCCAAAATGGAGGCTAGGCTGCGGTTATCAATTTTTAACGTCTTTATTAGTAAGCTAGGAAGAAATTAGAATTAAAAAAAAAAAGGTAATAACAGTGCACGCTGATAGCTAGGAATATTCGTTAATAAAACTATGAGGAAATTAGAATCAAAAGTAATAATAGTACACGGTGAACAATAGAGTGAGGATAATTTAGACAAGGCCCTGAATAAGTGTTTAAAAATGGCTTCCAAATTTAATACCCGTGCAAAACTATCATCATTCTAGTTCATACATTGATCAATGATATTACTAGCTCCATTTTTTCTATCTGACATTTTAAGGTATGCACAAAGGAAAAAAGTGATTGATAATTTAATCTTAAATGTTACTTTTCTTCCACCTAAAGCGACGTAAAAAAACTGAGGTAGTACAAACAATAACAACGGGAGGCCAATGGTAGAGATTTATGAAGTACCCAAGGTAGTATTCTCTTCATCAACGGATACGTAAACAACAATGGCATTGAAGAAACCCATAATAGCCGGCTGCACGCAAACAAAGAAGATTAGCGAAGTAGTACATATTTATTAGAAACTGGTTTTTTTTTTTTGTTTTTTTTGGGTTAAAGGAAGAAGATTTTTTACAAACACACTGTATGCCTCTTTATACTCAATAACTATATTTGCAAATTATTCGTTCTATTTCAAACAAACTTAAAAAATTAATCCAGGAGTTTCCCAAGTTACATAATGACTCAATTCTCCACTTAATTAAGGGAGAAAAAATCACTTTTGCACCGTTTTAATTTAATAAATTGGATTATTTTTCTTAAATTGAGTGAATAGTCTTTTATTTTTTTTTGTTGTCTTTCCAATTTGAAATTAAGGAAGCAACAAATACCTTAATTGGTTTACGGGGAAAAGCATAGCATAACCGAGTATCACTTGAACAGCCAGGAATGCCATTGCTTGAACTCCAGAAATGGCCCCAGATGCAATTGGCCTTCGTTTTGTACGCTCCACCTAATTTTCAACAAAACTAGTGTTACTATCATCAATCAATTAAAACTAATAAAATAAATGAAATTGACTCGCTTTCTCAAAATAAGAATCATATTCATTGTCCAGGAACAACGTTGTTGTTTTCTAGTGATTCGGAGCATTATAGTTGAGGAAAAGGGCCAAAAAATATATATAAAAAAAACCCATTTCTCAAGATGAACCTTATTTAACTGTATTTTAATTATTTTTTTTTGGTTGATGACAATGATAGTTGGTATGATGATTTCAATTTGTACTTGCATTGCATCTGGGGGTTCTCATCTTATAAACCAACATCGACAATCATAAACTACTCTTTCCGTCCCAAAAAAATAGTTCATATTGAGTTTTGAATTTTGTACTCGTTTTAGTATAAATTTAAAAATTTAATGTGGACTATTTTTTGGGACAGAGGTAGTATTATTTACGTAGAGTCAGATATATACAAACTATACTAGTGTATTATAGTACACACCCTTCTATAATATATATATATATATTCCCAAATTAATACAACATGCTTACATAATAATATTACATTTCTATTGATATAAAAACAATATATAAACAAACAGTTAATTTAATTCCTCACCCGGCATCATAGAAAGCTTCAATCAGGTAATGTATGAAGCCAAGATGATAAATTTGTTAGGGTTTTGGGGCAGGTAAGCTTAGGTTTGTATACATCAAATTAATTTTCTTTCTCTAACTTTGGTACCCGTGTTAGCTTGACAGACTCGGGCTTCCGGATTTTGTATATCATCAATTTCCCACTTCCAATTTATGAAATATCAATTTAACACTCTTTATATTTCTAAATTTAAAGTTCGATTTGAATTTTATCCTTATTAATAATTGTGCGAAAATTCTCTTATGGGGTTTCTCTTTCCAATTTTCCCAATTCCATTGACAGCCAATGAATAAACCTTTATCGTGAATTCTCATCTCTCTCCTTTCCTTGATTTTCTTAAACATCTCTAAATTAACTTAACCCACAAGCAACAAAACCCACTGTTCCAAATTTGATTCAACAATTGAGGTTATAAACACACAAAAATAATTTTGTTTGAAGGTTTTTTTTTTTTTTTTTTAAGTCTCCCGTCAATAACTCAAGAGAATATTATGTGATATTTAAGAAGTTTTGCTTTGAGAGACAAGAGTAATTAATGGCCTTTTTCTGCAAAGGGTAAAATTTGAAAAGTTTTGACAAATGGTGCATTGATATTGGAAATCGACACTCATTTTGAAAGTTTTTTTTTTTTTTTTTGCCCCTAAAACGATATCCCTTTTACCCTATTAAAGTAGAAGACATGAAGTTCATGTGGCAACTACATATGCAATCGTTTTGGCTCCAATGCACCATATTTCAGATTTCAGGAGTCTTTTTGCCACGTGTAAGTCTCTTTTAATTAGAAGCTATATAATTCTTTTTTAAAAAAAAAAACACATGTTTTAGATGTGACGAGTCTAATGAAAAAATTCTACAAATAAGAATCAGTTACATTTCAAACGAATGGATATATTAATTTAAATTCAAATGTCCAATTGTGTAATTTTGCAGGCTTAATATAAACAAAAAAATAAAAAAACCTAAATCTAACAATTAAGAATAATGTCTTATAAATTAATTATTTATTATTCTCTTATAACCTCAGATTTATAGGTATATTTTTTTAAGCCCCAAACCATAGCATAAATGTTATATACGCCAAATTAATTCCTCAAAAAATAGTAATTCAATTAGATTTTAATAAAATAGTAATTTAGAAGGGGCGTCCGGGCATCTGCCTGGGCCAAACATCTAGTTTAAAATATAAAAGTTCAAACTAACAACACGTATGTGAAGACAGAAAGAATATTATTCCCCCTTAACTCCGGAAAGTTTCATTAAGAATAGATTTAATTAAAATTTTAGTGCAGATTAATTAATTACTTTTTTTTTCTCATTTTTTCATTTCATCCCGGCAACTTAAGAATTTTAGTCCGGCTACTGGCTACATAGAAATACTACTACTAAGAAAGAGGGGATAAAAAATAACGAATTGATGAAAGCCGAAAAATAGAAACTTTCGAAACATTTGATGATGGAATTTAAGTGTAAACATTAAAATATGACGATCATCATCTCATATATCACCTGTGCATCCAAGTCCTTGTCCAAATAATCGTTGATGGTGCACCCGAGACTTCTATACCAGAAAGACACAAAGTAGAAGAATGCCAACATCTTCCAATCCGGCAATGATCCCGGCGCCGCGGCGAGTGCCAGCGCCCACATACTTGGCCATGCACACATGATAGTTCCAATTGGCCTGTCCAACCGGATTAGATACGCGTACGGGCGTATCTTCTCCGGCAAGGAATCAATCCAAGAAGCCATAAGTTGGTCTCGAACTTCTACATATTCCTCAAGTTGTCCAGGTTTAGGTTTATCCGTGAGGGGGACAACTTTTGAGGAGCTTAAGGTTGACGTTGTTGAAGTCCAACTAGACGCGAAACAACGAATTCGATTTTTGTTTTCAAGGCCATGACTGCTATAAGAAGGGTAATTAACAGCTTTAATGGAGATTAATTGGATCAATGGTCTTGATAAGGAGCTGGAGGAGGAACCGCATCTCGTGAAAATACGAGTTGGATTCTTTAAGCTCAAGATGGAATAATTAGTTTGTGAGATAGGCAGGGAAGAAACCATTCTTTTTCTTAGTCTAGCACAATTAGGTTTTTTGGTTTCTCGTTGTTTATGAAATGGTGATAATTCATCATAGGTTGCCAATTATATAAACAAGGTCACATCCCCATTTTTGTAAAAAAAAATTAAAAGAACTTTATCAAAGTAAAAAAATACTCCCTCCGTCCATTATTGTCCAGTTTGAGTTTTCATTTCTAATTTTAATTGTAATTAAAGTGAAATCTCAAAATGTACAATAATTTTGGGACATAGGGAGTATAAAATTAAAAGGAAGTTATTTCTAGATACTGTCAGTCCCCAACTCCTGATAAACTGTCGGGTCAATCAACAATCCCGTACACACGGGTCTACACTTCGAACCAGATATACTACCAAGTCAGTCAACAAGCCCATACACACGGGTGCACACTCCGGATATACTGTCGGGTCAGTACACAAGCCCACACATGGGTCCACACTTCGGACCGGATATACTACCGGGTCAGTTAACAAGGCCGTACAAACGGGTTCACACTCTGGATATACTGGCGAGTCAGTATAAAAGTCCGCACACACGGGTCTATAGTTATGACAGGTTCACAGATCGTGGACTCTGATACCATGTGAAAAGTCACTTTGGACTCTCATCTCAAAATTAATTGGCTATAAGTGGGGTGGTCTTAGAATTTATGAACAGGTGATAGATTATTCACGACACTTATGTAAGATTTTTTGTCCCAACAGATTTGAACCTCCAGAGGTTAGTGACTTACGTTTAATTCACTATAAATCTTCACCGGTTTACTTAAACATCTTCGCCGATTTACTTAAATAAAATAAATTCATATCCCTATTCTTGAAACTTGAGAGGTTAATGACTTTAGTTTTAACTATTTGAATTTGAATGATAAACCTTCACCGATCCTGTCAATCTTTGTTGTCCATTTTCCAACTTTGTTTTTCTATGTTGTATCCTTGAGAGAGTAATGAATAAAAAAAAAAAACTAACAAGTGACCCAGACATGAGCAAGTTATCCATTTTTAGGACATTTGCTCTTGTTTTCCCCCTTTTTTTTTAGAAAAATGAAAAAATCTGTATTGATTCTCAAGTATGTTGATAGAAATCAATTTAACTATCTCAAATAACAAGTTTTGGTGAAAAATTTAATAAAAGTCTAATAATAAGGGTAATATGTTTTCTAGTAATAGATTGGGATTTAATCTCTACAAGGAGCGCTTGTAGTGGGGATTTTTTCTACTAGGAGCTGCAAGGGTTTTATTCACATTTAAGTGTTAGATGATATATATATAAAATAATTTTTAGTGATGCAAACAAGAAAAAATTTATAAGAATTGATGAAGCTAAATATATTTAAGGTTTTCTTTTTAGAAAATTTTACATGAACGGTCATACTTTAATTCATTATATATATAGTCTATAGATTTTTTTTCTACGTACAATGTTAATATTAGCATATTTTTCTTTTTTTTTAATTTTCGGAACTAGTCTTGAATATTCACAGGGTCGAGTACATATAGAAATATTTTTTTTCCAAAATATTTAAAAATTTATAAGGTATTCACAGGACCGATCGAGTGCACACTCCGGATATAATATAGATATATATATATATATATATCTGTGTGTGTCTGTGTATATCAATATTTCTAAGATTCGAAGGACTTTATTTCACCTGAAAACTAGCCAGCCTTTTTATTTTTATTTGTATGCTATTATGGAATTAGAAAAACTTAACGTGTGCAGGCTTCTCCCCCACCCAATTGTGAGAGGGGTTGAAAAATAATTTAACCATCACAAATTCTCTTATTTAAAATTGAAGGCTGGACTCACTGGAGTTAGTCTTATGATCTATACTAAAATTTGCGGTTTTGTTTTCAGGATTTCGCCTTATTCTCCGCACTGGAAAAAAAAAAAAAAGTTTTGTTTTTGTTTTGGGCAGCGCAATGCAGCTAAAATTGAGATCGTCGATTTCGGAATCAAATCTTTTTTTTTTTTGGCAAGTTTGAGAAAGTTCTGCTTTTTTTTTTTTTTTTTTGGGGGAACCAAATCTTTTTGGAATCACGAGTATAGAGTAAAAAAAAAAAAAAAAGAATCACGAGTACTTGCTCGCACGCAGCTCTGACCAGCACACTTTCAAATATGAAAGATATAAGTTGGGAGATCTGGAGAATGTTAAGAGTTGGCTAAATCGGAGTAACATATCCACGATCTTTATTTATTGAGAATGAGTTGGCTAAAGGTTAGAGAAATCAAGTGTATTACTATCAAAATTATTGAACTGTTTATTTTTGATCCAACGTTTAAACATGTGATTGGTTTTAGTCTTCAAAGCGTCGCTAATAGTTGTTTCTACAAGTGTCACTAAAAGGATATTTTAGCGGCACTTTGAAACTAGAACCAAAGTACATGTTCAACAGGGTAACAAGTGTCGCTAAAAGGATATTTTACCGGCACTTTGGAACTAAAACCAAAGTACATGTTCAAACAGACTAAAATCAAACAATTCAGTGATATAGAAGCATAAAATTTACTGAATTCGACCAAACATTAATTTCGACTAAAACGTGAGTTCTCTCCTACACTAAATCATATTGTTTATGATGCTATTTTACTACCTCAGTAATGGTGTAGTGAGCGTGAAATTAAAGTGAAAATCCAGTGAGATTGCGAAATAATATTGACTGTGGTGAAATTTTGAATGTTCGAAGAAGAAAATACATTGTACTCTATTACAAAATTATAGTCAAGTTTGTATTTTTATTTTAGTATAATTTGAACTAAAACTAAAAAATTAAACTGGACAATAATTTCAATTTTAGATGGATGAATGATCAAATTTGAGATGGTTTTTTTTTTTAAAAAAAAAAAAAAGTTGTAGAAAGGTGTTAATCGCACTATCAGCATTAAGGAGAAATCTTTTGAAAGATTGTCGTTCGACCATTGATTCGTGGCATCAAAAAACGTTAAGCGCTCAAGCTGCAGTAGAATCGGGCCAATCCGTGAAAGGAACAATGTTGAACCATCCTCACGTTTCGTTGATTAAATTTTTTAGCGTTTACGTATCTTTTCAATCTATAATTTTTAAACACGTAAATACGGTTTGCTTTATCTGAACTCGTATCGAAATCAACCATCTGTGATCGATCACGAATGTGTCTTATAAACTGCACTCAATTGAAGGAAATTATACTTACACGCGTTTAACAAATAAGAAAAGTTTGTGACCATAATCGTATAGAAAGTAACTTGAAAGTGAAGTGACAATCCTTAATTATTAGACCACAAGAATGAGAACGAGTGAAAAAGAGAATCAAATTGGATTGTTTCCCTAATAATCATTCCACGACAAAGCGACTAGAATTGGGATAAAGCACAGATCTAGTCGTAGGGTGATGACAGAAACTTAAAAACAATCTTGCAACATTAATGTAGGAACCATATCATGCATCGTTACGCTTGAGCAACATGAACAGAAATTCCCACGTCTCAAAGAGAGCATTGGTAGAGGGATCCTTCACAAGGTTTTCGATCTTCTGAGGATACCTTGTAAAGGCTTCATCAACTACCTGAGGAACACCAATGTGTTGGTTCAAGAGGCAGTCCATTACAGCTCTCATGTGGCTGCATGTATGGTGAATACCTTGAGGGGTGTTTAGATGTGATGGCAAACGTATCTCCTGCATTGCCTTGATGCTGAAATGCTTGCCATGGTTTGTAAGTATAATTTCCTCCATCTCAGTGGCTGTTGGGATGAATGTAGGGAAGTTGAAGGAGTCCACCAGATCTTCACTTATTACTCCCTAAAAACAAACCAAAATCAATCTAATCTAGCCTCTAAATCTGAGACATACAAACACAACATTGATGCATATAGTTTTTTTTTTTTTTTGGAATAGTAATCAACCCTTTTTTCCCCGCATGCGATTCAATCTCTAGATTCTTAGAAAATTCATTCAGAGTCTTACCACCCGACTAAAACCTCGCCAGTTTGATGATTTGTTTTATTTACTTTTGAAATATACTGTATGTATTGTATACAAAAAAAAAAAAAAAATTGAATATATCGAAATGGATACAGGAGGCGTACCTCGTTGACCAAATCCACAAGTGCATCACCAATACTATCAGCGACCAACACAACATTTGATTCACAAGGGGAAGTCCCTAGTGATCTACAAGGTACAAGAATAGCCAATAGCCCACCAGGGACAAGTTCTTGTGTCCTTGCTCCAAAGAAATCATTCATGTCATGCACAAATTGAGCTTTAAAAGCCTCAACCACTTGAGGGGAACTCCTCGCGTACGTGACTTTACCTTTATTCCACTGGGGAGTACCCCTTGTAGTTACACTGTCGGGGATTTTACTCAACCAGTTGAGAGCCGTGTTTGAAACCATCAAGTTGACTGATGATTTGGGTAGGAGACGACCGTGGAATGATCCCGGAACTCCGGCCACCATGTATTGTTTGTCGTGAGGAAGTGATCTGAACAGCGTGTTGAAATCATTGGAGACTTGATCGTTGAAGAACACATGGAACTCGGGGAAACCATCATCATCGCTAGTGTTTTGATACTTGTGCTTTACTGCCTCTATTACGGAGGCCACCGATGAAAACGTGTTAGGACCAACTGAACATCCAAAGTCTGCAATGCGAAAAGTGGCATCTTTTGGGGGCAGTTTTAGTGATTTTGCAATACCATCTTCCAACAGTTTGTTTGCCTGATCTGAGGCATTTCCCTATACAAAAAATTCCATCGATCACCCATTAATGATTCTGAACAAGATTTTCTTATTGTAGTACATTAAATAATGTGGAGAAAAAGATTTTAATCGTAGAAGAGATAGAGGTCTGGGATTGAAATCAAGTACTAGCTACATATATACCTGCAACTTGGAGTTCTTGAAGTAGCTGCTGGCACCATCTCCACCTTTCACGATTTTAGAATTCTCCATTTCTGAATGCGAATGTGCTGATGATCTGGGGGTTCAAGTTTGCGAGAGCCATTCAGAACGAGAAAAAACCCAAGTAATCCCAACAAAAAAAGAAGAAAACGAGAGAGAAAAAAAAAGGGAGACATGAAAACGAATACCAATTCTATCTCAAAAATACTGATTGTGAGCAACTAGTCACGAATCAAAGTCCGCTATCACTTCCAAGCGAAGCTCAGGAAATCGTTAGACTATTGCGTACTTTAATTTCCCGTTTTCAATATTGCTGTCTGATAACATAATCTTGCATATGCATTGTAATAGTATAGGTATCTCATATACCATTTTTTTAAAAATATATATATATATATGTATATATATATACATATATATTATTTACCTTGTACTTTTAAATTTGTACCAAAAATAGTACTCTCTCTGTCCCAAAATTATTGTGCAGTTTGAGAAGTCACTGTTACTACAATTTGAACTAGAAATGAAACTCAAACTCGACAATAATTATGGGACGGAGGGAGTATTAGTAGATGCAGACGGTAAGTAATTGATTTACGAGAGTCATGACAAAAGAAATTCGATGAGGTGGATGTCGGTAGTGGTTGGCAGAAGGAGGAAAATGCACCGCTTAATTTAATAAGTAAATGCTATTTTTATTTTGTATTCTCCTTGGAAAGGTTAAATTGGGTTTATTTTGATTTTTGACTCTTCAAATCACCGAAGAAGATCTGGATTGGTCGGTTTCGTTCTAAAATTATTGTTTAGTTTGAATTTGTTTTAGTATAAATTAAACTAAAAATAAAAATCCAAACATGGCAAAATTATTCTCTTCTCCTAGAACAGCCTTTTCTGTGTGAAGTGGTCCTGAAACCTGTCTCCCCTTTTGCACTTTCAGTCTAATTTAAATCTTTGACCTTTTGCGGATTTTTTGCGGAGTTTGCCTGTAATTTTTACCTTCTCACAATTTGTTCACTAATCGGAGAAAGTACAAAAATAACATAGAAATATAAAATTCTTACCTAATTACTATTATACAATGAGAAAGAGACTAAAATAGATGTCATAAAACATGTAAATTTAACAGACAACAATTTTTAAAATAGTCATCATAGGGTGGGATGACTGACTTAAAATATTTTTTTCTACATCATCTTTAAGACGAGATTTGAACACTTATTGAGTTTGACTAAGGACTTTTTTCCATTTCATTCTGGAGTTTAACTACTTACAAAGATAAGGTTAGGGCAAGCACAACTCCCTCCATATCTTCTTCAGAAGTAGAAACTATATTTATTTGCAAAAAAAAAAAGAAAAAAAGAAGAGAATATATCTCTAATTAACTTTTTCCCCCAAAAAGCCCAACTTAAATGCAAATTTATATCCAAGTCCGGAAAAAGGTTCAAGCGTTCACCTACTTGACAACTCACAAGGACAACTCATTCTCAATACATACTTTACTATGTACTATTAACACGAAAACCCCAACAAAAACTAGGGAAATTTACTAGGGGAATTAGTTTTCTATTTCTTATCCCTAGAGATTACATATTTTAGCAATATCTATAGCAAAACTTAGGGAACAATTAGTTCTAGATATGGTACCTTTATGTACAACATCCCTTGTTCCTAGACGTGGATTTTATTTTCAAACTTTACACAACATCCCTTATGTAAAAAATATACAGGATAGAGTATCCAATGTGACATCAAAAATAAAATAAATTCATATTGAATGATCAAAATATCCACATTTGAAGGATACCCAGACATTTTATACAAACATTGAAACTAAAACACGGGTTTTTTCAATATGTTACGCAAAAAGTATCACACAAATATCTTAAATACAAACACAAAACAATTGATTTTACTCTAGAATTTAGTTCAAATGAGTAAGTGCGAACAGTGATGGAGCCAAGAATTTTTATTAAGGGGTGCGAGATTAAATTAATAGAGATAGTGTTTAGAGAGGGCAAAGAGGAACTCAATGTTGTCAACTTTCTAACTTTTGTCTTAGAAGGATCTATCTAAGTTCATTGTTTAGTCATAATATCATGTGATAGACCTCTTACTCTAGAGCAAGCATTATGCGCTACTCTTTGTACTTTAATTTAATAATAAATAAAATCGGGATAATGGCCGCTAAGTACCATCCTGGTTTAGTTAAAAAATACAAAAAAAATATTCAGTATTGAAAAAATCAAAACATATTTTTTTTTCTTTTTTCGGAAACCAAATACATTTTGCTTTTCATTCAAAAAACACAATAGAAATACGTAGAACCACTTCATAAAGATTTCTGATATTTTTTGCAATTTGAAGTTATATGTTACAAAGTTAAAAAATTATTTTTAGATATATTTTATATGGTTCACGTTTAGTAGAAACAAAAGTTAATTTGACTGATTTTATGCATAGTTGCTTGTATCACATTAAACACAGTACCATAAAGAAGTTAATATGATTAATTAACGTAAATTTAACATCAAGTGAATATGTTCCTTATTGTTTCCACTTAATATTTTTAAAAGATTTCTATATATTGAATCTACATGTTTCAAATTTCCGTACAAAAGTTAATTGAACGTTTTCTAATTATTTTTATATTTTTAAAGAGGGTGCGAAAATTGTTCCATTATAAATTTCATAATAATTATATACTACTTACGTCCCAAAAAACAATTTCATAATAACCTCCTCGTTGAGACGTTGCAAATCAAAATATGGTCTTTAGCATAGCAGGAATTTCTACATTTTTAGTTCTAACATTTGGAAATTCAATGGATTATTTCCAAATTATTAGACTTCTTGATTTTAATTTTAACATTTGAATAAGTGTCTGCCAATATATTTTAGTCGAAAAACGTCTGTCAACTGTACTGTTTGTCGCTAAAAGATGTTGCGAAGCCTATAGCGACACTTTCTTTTGAATTTAGCAACACTTTTGGAAAGATGTCATCAACGCAGGATGTGAACATATTAAGCGATTCTTCTATCACTTCTGAGAGGGCACATTGAATATTTTATAACTCAGAAAATTTAAAGGCCTTTTCAAATTTTCTTGGGATACAAATCATGGGTACAAGTGGATCTGATGTGGTGAGAGACACAATGTCTATAAAGTACGTTATCAATGACTGCACTAATTTCGTTTCTTGTGTTAATTAATATTTTTGGCATTAATTTAACAGACACGTAGAACATAAGATTCCTTTTGGTATGATTGAAGTAAGAGATTTTTTTTTAAATCCCAAAAATTATGGAACAAGGTCAAAAGATTGCTTTTGATATGTTGCCATGTTTAGACATATTTAAATGCGATGGATGACATAGGAATACGAACAGCATCCGACCTAATCCAGCCCTGGAAAGTTTGTTAGTCAATCTGTGGATACAATATTTGGGGGTTATCACTTATCAGCTATGCGTATTCACGTGAAATATGTCGCATAAGTTGTTTCAGCTGCCCCGCAATTTATTAATATGAATGAATATTTAATCAAACTGCAATCTCATCATTTGATTCCCTCTGATTTTTTGTCGTGTGCATACACAATAATAATATGTGTGAGGATTGATATGCAAATCGCTACCTAATGTATCGGTTGAAGTTTGCGATATCATATCCTATCTGTTTCGTTATGATTAATTTGTTTATTTCTCTCTATCCAAAATTATAGTCTAATTTACATTTTCAATTTTAATAAAATTTGAACAAAAAAAAAAATTCTAACTGGATAATAAATTGGGACGGAGGAAATATAGGCTTATTATTCTCCCTGGCTGAAAGATATAATTCATTATGAATTTTAAAATTTATAGTACATAAAATAATACACAGTATAAATTACAAAATTCAATATGACCAATTATTGTGAAACAAAAAAAATATGATGTATAGAATGAACATTATTTTGAAAGGAATATATGTTTGGTTTAACTTCATGATCAGTTCGTATGGTAGCAAATAGGGTAGCCCAGGGATCCTGTCACTTACAAATCATTCATATATACCACTATATAGGGGATGCATTTTCTTGGTAAATTTGCCGCAAGGGGCAATAGATTAAGTATATCACGATATGGTAGGAGCTATACAACTTCGATAAACCTTTTGTTATATCCTCTAAGTCCAAGCATTATTGCTCTCTAAGCATATAATTTTTTTTTAAAAAAAAAAATTCATCAGCTCGCCAGCGAACTCACAATTTCCCACTCGCTGACCAGCCTAACTAGTATCTTTTTGGGTTCAATTATTATGTTTCTTGTGTTAATTAATACTTTTGGCATTTATTTAATAGACACGTAGAACAAGATCATAAGATTTCTTTTGATAAGATTGAAGTAGGAGATTTTATTTTATTTTTTTAATTCCCAACAAGAAATTAAGAACAGACACATAAAACAAGGTCATAAGATCCCGTTTGATTTGTTGTCATGTCTAACCATATTTAAATGCGATGGATGACAAAGGAATATGAAGATAATGCTACCGAAGATCAAGCTCTGAAAAGTTTGTTAGTCAGTCTTATATGGATACAATATTTGGTTTGGCAGAAGTTGGTTTTCACATGTAATTTGTCGCAGAAGTTGTTTGAACTTTGAACGGGAAATATATTAATATGGAATGAATATTTAATCAAATTGAAACCTCCTAATTTGATTCACTCTGATTTGCTGTCGTGTGCGTACACAATAATACCAAAATGTGTGAAGAAGGATATGCAAATGATTATTGAATCAGATTGCGACCTCCTAATTAATTTGATTCCCTCTGATTTGCTGTCGTGTGCGTACATATTAATAAAAGAATAAAATGTGTGAAGATGGAGAGTTTTTTTCTTAAATAATCTCATGTTTAAAAATATTTCCTTCAGTAACCTAAATTCAAACATATCTAAATTAACATTTTTGCATAGGATTTTGTAGGCTATTAGGATTTTTTATAAGAAGTAATTTTGGGGAGGTGGATAATAATAAGTAATCACCCCAAAAGTCTAATGATATATACTAGTGGGTGGCCCGTCCGGTGGACGGATTGTGAAGTTTTTCACAGTCAATATTAATAAACATAATCTTATACAAATGAAACACATCAATTAATGAAAAAAGGGTGTAGAGCCATTTAAAGATGTTAAAAAAAGTGAAGAATAATTTATTTAAATTGTGGAAATATATAAAGATCAATAAAATTTAAATGATGTATCAAAAAAAACAATAAATAAAGTTTGAAAAAAAATAATGAAGAAAATATTATCAATCACACTTTATCCGATCCTTCTTTGTAGACTACATTAGTCGTCCGGCATCCAAATTTTT